AATTATGTACGAAAATATATATTAATTTATCCCGTGTTGAAATTTTTCTCCGTTGCGTGTCGCTTCACGTTGAATTTTCGTCGATGTTAAGCCTAACGAAGACTATTGTATCGTTAAAAATTATTTTTTTTATTTTGTACAAACAAAATAAATATATTGAAAAATATAAAAACAATAAAAAATTACACTTCAGATGTTAATTTAGTATCAAAAAACGTAAAATATTTGAGTAGCCCGAGAAATAGCCGAAGATTTCAGCGTCACAGCACTAGAGAAAATTTAAATTTGCCAACTGGAAAGCTTTCAGATAACGGACGTTTCGGATAACCAGCTTTCGGATAAACGACACTCTACTGTATTATATTACTTTTTTTAATTATTTATTTATAATTTAATTTATTTTAAAATTTTAATGATGATTTTCTTTTGAAAATATATGATACATATATATTTTATTATTCAATTACATACAACAAATTAATAGCAATAAGAGAAAATATTGCTTTTATTTATGATAATTTATAAAAATAAATAATATTTCTGTAATATTAATTAATAGCACTTACCTTTCATTAACAGTTTTTGTTTCTGGCATAGTATCATACAAATCCAACAAGTAAAACATGGTTCTCCAACATCTTGGTTGATAATCTTTTATATCATCAAGGAATGTGTGGTCAGAAGGAGGAGCAGAACAGGACTCTGGAATATCTATGGCAACTGAATCACTAAGAGTAAAACTCAATGGACTAGATGGACAGTCATCTTTCGAAAGCATTTCTTGCAGGTTTGTATAGCCTTTACTACTAGCACGAAGCCTCTGTGATAATGTATGAGGTCGTCTAATTCCAACTGAAAGACTTGTTACACCGCTGGTAGATTTTGTTGGTGTAGCAAATTTTGAAGATAAAGTTGGTCGTGGTGAGTGAGGGCGATAACTTTCACTCTGACTCTCTATTGATGAGGAACATTTTTTCTTCCCAGTTTTCATGCTTCCCTTAAGAGAACTTGGTCTATTTGCTTTTAATTCTAAGCGTGTTTCTTTTACATTTTCATACATTGTTGAAAACTGATGGAGTAATCTTAGAAGAGGCATATTAACTTGCTGAGCAATGAAATTAGCAACAATATTAAAATTTACAATGGTTGTTATTTGTTTCAAATTCTTTGTCCCTAAGAGAAGGGCAGCATGAGCATACTGAATATCAGTTTCTTCCTTTTTTTCAAAATTTCTTGTCTCTCGTAACTCCAAGTCAATGGAAAATTTATCACAGATAAATGTTGGTGTATCCATGCTAGTATCAATAAAAAATTTTCCATGAGTGGAAATTTGTTTTCGAGCAGTTTTCTTTTTATGTCTTCCACTGTTCTGATATTCCGATTCTACAATATCAATTTTTAATAAGTCAATTATTCCAGATAATGTAATTTTTGGCCCAAAATTAGTATAAAAAAGAGAATCTTGTGATTGATTCTGTATACCTAAATTGCTAAGAAGGGGTTGAAAAATTATATGAGCATCTGCCACCTGAACTCCTAATGGTACAAATGTCATAGTAGGTGGAAATGAATGTAATTTGCTAATTTCAGCCTCCAAACTATTTTCAGATGTTAAAGTATTCATTTTAGAATCATGTTCTGTATTATCTAAAAATTTTTGATTTGTTAATAGTCCTGTATTATTTACATAGTCTTGTTGTCGAGCCATCCAATTATAAAGGTCTTCATCAACTGGATGTTCACTAGAATCCATAAAATTTCTTCGTGGTGTACCAAGGATTGAAGATGGTAAATTAGGTTCAATACTGGATAAACTCCAAGTTGTTGATTTCAAACTTTGATGACTATCATTTCTTTTTATGCGTGAAGGATTTGTAAAGCCATATTGTGGAAGTATAAAACCATTATTTCTTCCCAGACTTGTGCCTACTCCCCCAGCATATCGTCCTGGAGAATCTAATGGTCCTCCTAAAAGAGGAAAAGCAACACTTGCTCTAGTTGTTCTAGGAGGATAACTAGGTAATTTTTTTTTATTTTTTCTTGAAAGTGAATTTGTACTTAATCCTCCTTCTAATAAATCCTGTTGACTATTACTAGATCTTGATGCTGATTCTGGACTTGAAAAACTTTTTATAGTCTGATCTAAAGTTGCATTAGTTTTTCCTCCAACAGCAACAGACCCACCTTCTGCCATTAATAAATTTGTTGTTTCATCAGTTACTTCACATTCATCTAACTGTGTTCTTTCACCTTCTTCTTGGAAACTATGAGAAAGTTCAGAAATAGGTAAAGTAAAAGAAACACCAAATGGTCTAGCATTTTTACGTAATCTCATGTTTTGTTCCACAAGTAATGGCATGTATAATATGTTTTTCCATTGACGACTCAATGCTACAATACCTCTCTGAAGTGTTTTTACTGGTGGAGTGAAATCTGGATGCAGATTTTCTTCGATAGTATCTATATTTGTTTGTATTAAATAACGCCTTAAAACAATAAGTAACTGACATGATGGATCTTCTTGAAGTGTTTTGGAAAGAGCTGTTAATTTGTGCACCATATATTTGCTCTGAAAGGAAAAAGGAAAAATATATATATATAGTTAATCATTTAAACTCAAATTATAATTAAGCAATACAATAAAACATATTTTAACATGTTAACAAAAACCTGAAAACAAAAATATAAGGTACAATAAAAAAAATCAGATTTGGTCTGTAAAGATTTTAATACTTAACTAATTTAAATCTAACCTCTACCCCCTTTAAAGTAATTCTTCATTGCATTTATACAGCAATCTCACTGCTTCTTCTATGCTTCAGATGCTCCTTGGAAGTCGCTGTTTTAAAAAATTCCAAAGCACCTGTTGTGATTTAAATTAGAGCTCCTCAATCATATCAAAATGCTACTCCTTGAGCTTCAATTTCATTCTGGAGAACAAAGAGACTTTTAAGATGCTAAATCTGGCATGTATAGAAAGTGGGAAAGACTGATCGTGTTGTTTATCATCAAAAACAGTTGCATTTTGAAGGCTGTATATGCAGGAGCACTGTTATGACAAAGGAACCAATTTCAGTTTCAACATCATTCAGATCTTTTGTGATCAAGATTGTTACACTATCATCTCAAAATGTTGCAGTAAAAGTTTGAATTCACTGTCTGACTGAGAGGAAAAATTCAAGTACATAATCTCTTATGATTGGAAAAACAAACAACATACTCTTTCTCATGCTCCTGACTTGCCTTGTCTTCTTTGCTCTCATTCATAGTTCATTGTCATAGGTCTTCTGAAGCATTTCAATGATCTCTTAACAGACTTCTCAGGTTTAATTAAAATTTTTACATTTTCTCCCTTTTCCCAATTTTAAACTTTGTTCTAAGTAGCAACACAACAATAACAAAATATTTAAAAAAAAAACACAAAACCTAACATCACTTCACAAAGTAATGCTCAACTGTTTAAGGCATCAATCTTTGGTGACAAAAAGAATGTACTTTGTTTTATCATCAAACAGCAGAAACAGTGATTTAACTTTTTGATCACACCATGTATAAAATTTAATTCTAAATACATATATATTTTTCTAATAAATCATGAGCATTATCATAAAACACATAAAATGGTTTTAAAATGCAAGTATATTTATCCACAGGAATTTAGTAAATTTATATGAATTAATTAATATTTCATCATCTTTCAGAATACTAAGTCAAGCTTCTTATAAACAGTTAAAAACCAAAATACACTCAAAAAACCAAAATTCAAGCAGTTTATAACACTAACTTTTACTGTATAAATAAAAACAAATGTTTCAGTCATTTTAAAAGAAATCTTCAAGTTTTTAAAACATTGAAATCATTTATTTGAATTTTATTTATTTAGATGATAAAAGTCAATGTTATCATCTAAATAAAAGTAAACTGTTGGATTTTTGATTTATTGAATGTATTTAATTTGAAGACACTTAGTTAACAGAGGTAGTTAAATATAACATCCTATTTTAATTGTTTAGATAAAGTTTGATAATGATCCATTTTTCCAACACATCACATCAGCAATCCACTACAATACAATCAATCCACATAGAAACTTAATATATTTTATCTATTATAATTACAATTTAAAGAACTTAAATTTATAAATAATTTAGCTTTGATTAGAAATCTTGATTATATGTTTATATTTTAACATCTAATTAAAAACATTAAAAACATACCTTTACTGGCATATGTATACTTGGTGTATCTAGTGCTTCAACCATAAGACATGTTACTATTGTAAAAACTCTATGAAGATATTCTCTAATCATTTTACGAATCGATACTGCTAATCGATCTCCAGGTTTCAACCAAGCATTAATAGCTGGAGATGCAGTACTTAATAAATGCCAATCAAGTCTGAAAATATTAAAAATAATTTTATATGATTTTAATTATTTTAAAAAACATATACAATATACAAAGAAAAAAAGATTATTTTATCAGCAAAAATGAAACCTTTCATCTATTTCAAAATCTGTAAATATAGTTTTATTATATCTTTCCAACAGCTTAACCCAAAAATCAGATTGATGACTCTTACATTAATAATAAAGTGTTAAATTTTTTAATGATTATATACAATTTAGAGAAAACAATAAAAAGAAAATTATTTTAATGAATCCCAATAATTTTGCTTTTATAAACAAATGTTTGTATATATTTTTAATTCCAAAAAGTATATATGAACATTATTTTTGGGAATAAAATTTTATTTTATATGCAGGAAAAATTTTACACTTGTAGAGTTATTCTTATACTAATTCAAAGTTATACTAATTCAAAATTCAAATTTATAGCTACATATTTCAATTTAAAATAGCCAAATCACATTGTTTCCATTATAATTATTTAATTTTTTATAGAGTTAGATAGAATCATAAAAATAGCTGGGCCATTATAGTTTTTCAAGCATTTCAAGAACAATGTAACTATGTTACTGAGAAGTTTGATAAAGAATGATGAGAAGTTTGATTCTTTGTTAACAAAGAATATTTCGTAAACTTTAATAAACCTTAATTGATATATTATTCAGAATTTTGATTTAATTATTATAAAATTTTAATTCAAAATTATTATCAGAATTATTAAAAATCCATTGCTGCATAAGCTTTATTATAAGAATCAATTTAAACTAAATAAAATTTTAAGAATTCAAGAATCTTAAAAATTCAACTGGTTTAATGATATTCATTATATCCTTAAAAATTTGTTGGATATAATCAATTTTACTTTATATGATTATAAAACACTCTTAATATAAGATCAACTCAAAAATGAAAAAACTTAATTATTTTGGTGTTAAATAAATGATATTTTTAATAATTCAAAGATAGTGTTTCAATCTCATATATAATATCTAGTATCTAGTTAGTAAGAGGTTAAAAAACCTGCACAAATAGGCTGATTCCATTTATAAAATAGGATAGACAGAGTATACTCCACAGATTTTACCTTAAAAAAGAAACCAACTCAGTTTTTTTATATCAAATAAACAATACTTTTAATAAATCAGTTAATAACAAATTCATTTAACACTGAAAAACTGTTTTTTTAGTTAAAAGTTTGTAGTATATACAACTCGCCTGTCCTATTTTATTTATATAAGGTTAAAAGTTAACTTTATTAAATATTAAATATTAAAATTAAATTTAACACATTCAAAATTAACTTAATAACAAATTATGTTTAAACATATTTTAAATATAAATAAGAAAGTTATTTACCTTGTAAAATCTATTTTTCTTGTATTTGGAGTCCTTGGAGGAGCAGCAAAATTAAACCATACTGTTTTTAACTCCATAACAAAAGATGAAGCATCTCCTTTAATATCACCAGTGCAACATTCTTTATCTGAACTATTATGACTACCACATTCAGAAACATATGATGGAAAAGACACTTTTGTATCCCAAGATGCACCAGATGCATCGGATTTTTGACTATTTTTTGATGGAGATTGTTCATTGTGTGCATTCTGTGCATTATCATGTCCAGAATTTTTTGCTTGTACATCAGATTTATTTTTTGATTGTTGAGCAAAATCATTTTTAAAACCTAATCTCTTTACAAATTTTAAAGAAATTTCTTCTAATCCACATTCAAACATTATAAAACCCATCTTCTCTTCATCAAATATTTGATCCCATTCTTGTTCTAAACATGAATCTTGCTTATCACATTGTACTGAATTTGATTTTGGCAACACAGAAATTTTTTCAAATGTAAAAGCAACTTTACTTTTATGATAAGGTATAACTGTCAACATTGCTTCCTTTAGTATAGTACTACTATTTTTAAGTCTTCTTAACTGAATATGTATACACATAATAGAGATTGAGAATACAGTTTCTTGTTGTTGAGTTTCACTTGTTTCCACAGTAACCATGTCAGTAGGAAGAGAATCAGTTTTACTTTTCTTTGATGAAATTTCAGTAATTTTTTGATGTAATCCAGCAGTGTTACTATTATCAGCAAATGTTTGAATTGCTTTTCTAGCATGATGACTGTGAAATATTTGAATTGATGTATTGTCAAAACATACAGCCAAAACAGACACACATGTCAAATCTTTCAGGTTATCCAAAGCAGAAAAAGAGATAACTTCTTCAACAATGGCTGCTTGAATTATACTGACATTGACCTAAAAATAAATAAATTAAAGCAATTTTATAAAACAAATTTTATGGTTTTATCTTTTCATTTCATATTAAATATAAAAACAAAATTTATATAAAATGAAGAAAGATCAAACACAAAATCAATAAAAATTTTAATAAACATTAAGATGAAAGTTAAATAAAAAATAGTGATTAATATACTGTATATAATAACTGAAAATAAATCTTAAAATTTAAATAATGATAATCCTCATTAAAATGATATTAGGTATAAGCAAATGATAAAATTTGTGAAATAATTGATAAATTCAGTGATTATCACAATTCAAATCATTAGGCTATTATATAATAAACAAGTAAAATGAAAATATAGTATATCTGGAGTTATAATCTGCAAAGAATTTGGACGGTCACCTTTAAGCTGCTGTTATATCAAATCATTATTAAATTTTTGGCTTTTTTTGTTGAGACTACCTGAAGATGATTTACAGTGAAAAGTTTACAATTTTCAATGTGAGGAGATATCTAAAGGAAAAGACTACACTTGGCTTGTTTCCTTTAAAAAATTTCTGGATAGCTTGGGTTTTTTTATATATTTTCAATGCTCAGTCCTCTGATTTGGTACAGAGTTGTTCAGCTGATATTATACAGACTTATATTGATACAGTAGAACCTCGAAAACTCGTTCCTCGATAACTTAGCACTCCGGATAACTGGTCCACACCTTGGCAGGGCGAAAAAATCCTTAGTTAATTAATTTTCATTATAGACAGCTTTATAAAAGTATAAAAGCTCTCAAAGTATTTTTCTGAGGTCTGTCTTATCAGGTAAATTACTGTACACAGTGTATTCATTAATTTTCATTTTCATGTAGTAAAGTACGTAGCCTTCATAAAGTACGTAGTTTTCCTTTGTTTAAGGGTATTTGGGCAGTTTATTCTCTGTTATATTCTGTACAAGTAAATACTGTACAAGTACAGTACAGTATTTTCTGAGGAAATACTCGTACTTATTTTTTTTAACCCCATTCCCGATAACTCGGCATTTTCACAAACTCGGCCACCCTTCGGTCCACATTAGGTCGAGTTTTCGAGGTTCTACTGTATAAGATTACAACAGGCTAGGTTAATACTTGGTACCTTGTTAAGCTGTGATCTGTCTTTATCTTGGTCTCCACCACTGTAGCTTTTACATGTAGTGAACTATCATGCTAAATCATTAATTTTACAACTAAAATATAACAAATACCATTTATTACTTCTTTGTAAATATATTAATTTAGATATTACTAAACCATGCACCTTTTGTGATGTTATTCCTGTGTTAGAATGGTAAAAATTTTTTTTGTATCTTGTAGAGTTCTGGAGCTTTTCTGTAGAAAATATTTGGCAGTTATGGAATTATTGTAAACTATTTAGAGTCTCCAGTTATTAGTTATATGGGAGTTTGTAAAATTTTTTATTTCTTTGTGAAAGTTTATAAACAGCTTAAACTAATTTGTACATACATTTAAAGTTCCTCTTGTACAAAATAAATATAATAAAGTTTATTATTATTATATCAATAAAAATGAATACACCTAAGATATTATCTTAGAGGTAAGTAGTGTAAATGGTAACAAGTTTTCTTATCAGGCAGAAAATTAAATTATATTCCAAAACATTTAATTTAGAAAATTAAAATATTAAATTTATTAATAATATTGAACTTATATCCATATCATACGATAATTAAACAATCTAGTAAAGTTTTACAATAGTTAAGTTTGATATTAATAACAACTAGTCATAGGTTTACAACATTTAATATTAAAATAATATGATTATATAAAAGTCTATTGAAATTTGAATTACAATAAACTTTTGAGATTACCTTATATTAATAAACTTTTTATAAACTGTAACTATATTTCTAGAAAATTCATTTAAGTGATAAAAGTTTGACTAATACATGTTATTGCATACAAATAAAATCTGACTCAGAAAGTATTAGATACTATATTTACTTTTACTTGCACATAAGACAATCTCACATATAGGATGAGGTGTGACTTTAAAGATCAAAATAAAGAAAATTAGATTTATTAATACAATTCTAATTTTATTTCTTTTAATCATAAATAAAATATCAAATGCACATAAATGCACACATTGTCCTGCAAAAATTACTGTCATTTTAAACTTTAAGGAAAAATCTTGTAAAATAGACATCATCATTTGTTCATGTAAAGCTGGACAATAGTGAACTTTTTTTGCCCATTCTTAACAGACAAATCCACTCTCCATTGATTACACTTATGAGTTTCTCCAAATTCTGATTTTTGAATAATCGCCTGTTTTTCCATGGGAATAGATTAAAACATATATCAGGCTCTCGTGTGATTTTAAAATTTCAATTTGGAATTCAATTCAAAAGATTTGCTCTACCTATTGCTATTCATCTTTACTCATGACAATACACAAGAACAATTCAAATGACCCAGATAAAATACTTTTGTTTTCAAACACCAAAGAGTGAATATCCAGTAAAAATGCTAATACACGGTTCAGAAAAATTATTGCAAAAACGCAAAGAATCCTTTGCTCGCTCATATAGGACTCCCTAGGTTTTTGAAACAGTAAAAAGTAAATAAAAATCTCATCTTATGTGCAAGTAAATAAGGTATATAAAATTGGATAAAAAATCTCACCTTTGATATGTGAATTAAAGAACGTAAATGATTTACTCTCGTTTCTTCATAGTTGCTTCCAGAGATAATATTATCTGCACTTCCTAGGCATTTTTCATTGTCATTAATATCTTTTTTCCATCCAAACTTTTCTAATAATTGTGCTCTTAATTGTGCTAATTGAAGTACTTTTTCTTTTTTTAATTGATTTTGCTGTTGGACATTATGAGAACACATAACATGTAGATGATTAATTATTGTAAGTGGATGAAGTCCAGCCAATGTTGGAGTTATTACATCAATAAAACTATAAAATAATTTTACACAAACATTCTAAAACTTAAGGATTATTTTTAATTATAAAATTTAAAACTCTAAAATATATAGCATAGAAAGGTATAATTAAGACAACACAAACCTTTTTAAACTTTCTAGCATTAAAGGTGAAATCATAATATGTATATCACCTTTTAGCTTTATTATCAATGCTGTTTTTGAAGCACACAATGGAATTCCATTCATCATATCTTCTTCACCTTCAAATTAATATTTAAGACATAAACTTTTATGTATTTTAAATATAACAATTATAAGATTTTAGAATTTATATTTTTATTTTAAAAAGTTAAATGTACTCTAATTAAAGTATAATATTACACTTCAAAAATATTTTAGAGTTAAAATCCTTCCAAACTAATTCATTGAATATAATTTATGCATATGAACAATATAAATACTGAAATTAACTAAAATTATATTATAATTTTAAAACTTATTTTAAAGATTTAGTTTAAAATTAAACATTTTTATTCTATTATTATTAATTTTATTAAGAATAGTACCATAAGCTATTCTTTACACTACAGTGTTCTTTTACCATTTGTCAATTCTAATTAAGAAATTCAATAAAATGAAAACTTTCAAAGCAAAATTCAAAATTACAATTAGCAAATAGAGAACAACTGTGCTGCAAAAATAACAATCATTACAGAAGCTTTATTATAAAAAGTTCAATAAAATTCATGTTAAAATGATGTCAATTATCATAAATTCATGTGTAAAAATACATTTGGAAACAGATGCAAATTATGCAATGGCACTAATTATCTGCTGATTTTAACTTGCAATTAGAAACTCTTCCAAACACATTTTCTTTTATTTAAAGTCATCAAAAGTATCTTTAGAAAACATGTAAAATTCTTTACATGCCAGACACTCATCCCAATACAAATGACATGCCTCACCTTTAGTTCTCTCCCACTCATTTTCTGTGCTAGCCATGATTTAATTGATATTATTAGACACTTCTACTAGAATTTGTATCTTAAAAGCAAACACTTCCCCATGTCTATATAATAACTCTCAGAAAACTGTTTAGAAGCTGAGCAATTGACTTTCAAACCTGTGTCAATGGATAACAACAACATTAAAATTTTAATTAAATTTCTTATGACTGCTGTTATATATATATTGTAAAGTCTTTGTAAATCCGCACTTAACAAAGACTTTACAATATATAAACATTAAAATTATTTTCTGTTTAATTTGTTTTAAACAGAAAATAATTTTAATGTTGTCGATGTAACATTTATTGTTGTTATTATTATTTGTTTGTAGTTGTCGAATGAAATACAAAGTTTTCAGAGTAATTTTTTATGAGCACTTAGTCAGCCTTCATTAAGAGACATCACTCAATAATTGTAAAGTTATAAACTATCTTTTTATTGCTATAAAGTGAATTTTGATTACTAAAATAATTATATACATTTTAAAACAATATCAAGATATTGTTTAAAAAATGTATATAATTATTTGATTGTCCAATGTTTCATCATGTTTACACACAATAATATTACTTTTTAGCATTTTTCTAACAAAATTGAAAGTAAAGATGACATTACCATTTTAACTCATTTGCTTCATTCTTAAAGTATACAATATAAAAAGCTGTTATTTTTAATTAAAATAGCATTCATATGCAATATAAAATATTATTAAATAACTTAAATTTTATTATTGTCTTAATTTTAATCTTTGTGTAACATTTTCAAATAATTGAATGAGCAAAATTTCAGCATCCTATTAATGTGACCTGACAATTACAATCCATCGGGTCTTTATTGTATAAGAAAGCACATCTTTTGTTGAATGAAGTAAAGCTCTCTATTGTGAATAAGAACTGAGTGATCTACTTTAAAATCCATGTCATCAGATATTATCAATATTAAAATTTTCTATTTAATTAATAGAAAAATTAATTCTATTAAATAATATTAAGGAAAACTATTATCCAAACAAAAACATCTGAGATGTAAAAGAATTGTGCCAAGTAAAAACTAATGACAATTTAGACGGCAGCCAAATTTTTTTCTTGGGAATTAAGGTAAGTTGGCACTTTATTATTGTTTTAATTAAAAACAACAGCTTTTTATATTGTATACTTTAAGAATGAAGCAAATTGTTGTTGGATCGTACACATAATATGGAGCAGTATAGCAAAGAAATAATATACAGAGCTATGGAGCTCTCCATCGTTCAAGACATGAAAGACATAAGAAAACGGGAAAATACAAGCTGGTATGCAACAATTTTAAATTACCCAGTAAATAATAATTATATATGGACGAATCTAGCTTTTAACATCAAAAAGTTTTTTATACAGATTAGGTTAAATAAAAACGGAATAATTATAAACGATAAATATATAGACTATACCCAAACTATATGTCCAAATTGTACAAAAATGTTATCTAGAGTTCATATTATATGTGAATGCTGTAATGAAAAAGATAAACTACAAAGGCTCCAGATGGGACTGCTGACTAACTGTAATAGTGAGAAGGAGATGTTTAATACTTTTGACAGAGCTAATACTAACACGATTTATATGTTATATAACTATGTTAAACAATTCACTAAATGATAATTATAACAAAATATTAATGTAACTCTATAGATCTGTAAATAGTATATATCAGTGTTGTTAAGACATGATTATATGTGATGTTAATATGCATTGTTAAAAAAAAAAAAAAAAAAATCAAACGCCCTTGTAACAGGCGAAAGCCTTTTACGCCAAATAAAGATGATTATGATTATGATTATGATTATTATTGTTTTCTACATTCCACTTTCAAGTGCCAAACTTATCTTTGCTAAATAAAAACTCTCAAGAAAAGAAAATTTGACTGTCATCTAAACAGTCATAAGTTTTTACACAATTTTTTTACATATCAGATGTTTTTATTTGGATTTCAATTGTTTTTGGTAATGATTATGTTATTACATCAAGCAGGGATGTTAAAAGATGTTACTGGGCCCAGGGAAAAAATTTACATAAGCCCCAAATAAATAATTTAAAAATTTACTTTAAGTTTTATTTTTATGGATATATACTTTTTGTAAAATAAAGAACAATCGTTATTATTAAGAATTTTATATTATAACAGTGCTTTAGTAGTAATTAGGGTGTAAAAAAACAAATAGTAAAATGATGTCTGACTCATCAATAACAGGTCCTTGAAATTTTATCTCATCATCATTATCCCCTGTTGCCAGTCCTGATATCACGACATAAGAGGATGATGTATAGTTCAGTTGGTGCTCGGTGACAGACACTAACCAAATGTTTTCAATACACCATTTAGTAAAATCATTATAAAAAAAAAGTTTTAATTTGCATAAACTTGAGCTTTTTTTATTCTGGATAACATTTTGAATAAAAATCATTCATTTCAACGCAATTTTACCTTTACAAGTATAAAATTAAATAATAAAAGTAAAATACCTCTATAGCGAACCTCCCTGAACTTATGGACCCAGAAGTTTCACAAGCACCTCACTAATAATAACAGAAGATTACATTTAAAATTTGAGCTTTTTAGATCCAGCAGTTTTTCTCCAGAAGCATCTGCGGTGATAGATGAAGAAAAAGAAAAAAATACAGCTTTTTTTTTTTGCAATTTTTGCACTTTTCAATTACTTATATTTTGGCAATCCCTTTGTAGAAAAATCTGAAATTTGCACACTACCTAAGAAAACAATTATCTTTTGAACAAAATATTCAAAATTACTTTAGGTATTTGGGCAGAGAAATCGACCCCAAAAACTGGTAACTCTGATTCCTGTATCAAGTAAAAGTCAGTCAGTGACTTTTTACTTGACACAGTCACTGCTGTGACTCTCAAATTAGTAAATAAAACAGAAATAATGCAATACAATTAAAAAGTTTTGCCATTTAGCAGCCATTTTGTATTTTTAATGCAAATTCAGTCTCAGTATTTCATTTTTCTGTTTCATTTTAAAAGTACATCTTTAATGAACTGCTAATGAAAGTGAGACAAACAAAAACAATGTTTAATATTTAAAATTATACACTCTAAACTGTATAGTTATTAAACATGCTTTCAATGGACATTCCAGAGGTAAAGGATATACATTGGTGCAAGCTATATGAAGGTTCTATTAAAATTCTGGCAATTTTCTATAAGGTACACACCAATGCAGGCTATCCACATAAAATTATGGTATGGTAAAATAAAATTCAGCTATTGGAAGACAAAAACAATTTCAGCTTCACTTTACACATTTTCTACATAAAATCTGTAATTGGGAGGTAGTATTGTTTCAACAGTTTTAACAGAAAAATTGAATGCAAAAANTCAACTGCAGAGATGCCACATACAATGCTCTCGATTCTTTTACCACATACAATGCCCATAAAATTCGTGTATTCGTGTACAGTACCTTCGCTAGGGCGGCCGGATGGCCGAGTGGTCAAGGTGGCAACCTACCGCTCTGGGGGACTCGGGCTCGAATCCGAACACGTTGAAAAATCCCCAGGAATATTTCGGGGGGTGGTCCGTTCGGTTATGTCGGACCCCGCCCCTCACCACCCGGCAGCCCTATCGTGGGCCTGGCCGAACCCATAATGGGCTTGCAAAAAGAGACCCTCTTAGTGCCCACAGGGTGGAAAGAGTTAAAAAAACAAATTAAAATAAAAAAAGTACCTTCGCTATTCGCCTGCTTTCGTACCAATTCGGTAGTTACCGAACAATAGCCCAAAACAATATTTTTACGACTGTAAATTTAAGTAAGGTTTTATGTATATATTTTTCAATTTTAGTTGTTGAGATTGAAACCCATAATGGGCTTGCAAAAAGAGACCCTCTTAGTGCCCACAGGGTGGAAAGAGTTAAAAAAACAAATTAAAATAAAAAACTTTGATAATTCAAAAAATTTAGATCTAAGTTTTAAAAAATTAAATGAACAACATACTTTTATTTCTGTTATTTTTTGCATCAACTTCCTTATGAAGAGAACCAGGAGAAAATTCTTCTTCTGCATGAGTTGATGTTGATTTCTGAGTCCAAGAATATTGTTTTCCATACCCAGGAACCTTTGATTTGTCCACCATATGTATTGTAGTAAACCCTTCTGTTATCATAGAAAATTTTGGTTTCCATCTTGTTGAAAATCTTGAAAAAAGATGATCTCTATTAGGTCCACATTGAGTAAGACCAGTTTGATGAGATAAATGAGAAGGTGGTGGTGATTCGTTCCATTGATTACAGTGATATTGTGACATATGAGCAGTATAACAAGACATCAGCAAAGGTGAATCTATAATTGCTTTATCCATTTGATTATGAAGATCAACTAGAGCAATATCTTCTTGTGATGACATTGCTGATATAAAAGACATACTTGAAACAGAATTAGAATCAGAAGGATCATGATGTGTACTATTTGAAGGGGTCCTATGTAATTTTGAAGTTTGCTGATCACTATCACTTGACTGCTGAGAAGGCAATTCTTGAATATCATGCAATGATCTTCTGTTATTGGCAACAATTTTTCTATCTATTGTCCCAGAATTTGTTTTCAGTGAAACGTGTCTTATCTTCTCAGATTCTGATCCATTCTCGTCAGTATTTGCAGAATCAGATGCTAACATTGAACATAACGCTTCTTCATCAGCAGAAAAATACATATCTGAAGAATGTGTTGATTCAGTAGATACTGCACGCCTGACAGAACGAGGAGAAAAACTTCTAGAAGCTATATTTGCAAGTGAATGGCGTGATCCTAAAGTATCACGACTTCCTGCTGGCCATCCATTTAATGATGTCCTAGAACTATGACGATTTTGTGATGGACTAGGACTGTTACTCCTCTCTCTACTAGTAAGAGAATTTGAAGGTTCAGAATATTTTTCTTCCTTCATTTCTTCTTTATCAGAAGCTGTATTATTATTATTATTATTATTAGTATTATTGTTGTTGTTGTTGTTGTTGTTGTTGTTGTTGTTATTATTATTATTATTATTATTAGTAATGGTGGTGGTAGTACTGGTAGTAGTAGTATTAGTAGTTGTAGTAATAACAGTAGTTGTAGTAGTAATAGTAATAGCAGTAGCAGAACTTGAATTTTGTTCTTTAGAAGTAATTACATCAGCATAATTATTCCCAGAAGTTGTACTCTGATTTGAAGATTGATTTAATAACTGAAGCACAGTAGGTGGACTATTTGCAGTTGACATGTGTGTTGGACTGCTAAATTGTCTCATTATACGTCTATTCTGCAGATTGCTTTTTACACCAGCTCCAACTGCACTATCCCAAGTATTTTGTCTTATCTGAATTGATTCACCAGCAGTATTTTGCAGCATAGTTTTACTTATGCTTAAAGTACTTGCAGTTGCATTATTTTCATTATTACTTCCTACAGATATTCTATCTTTTCTATCAATCATATGTTCTTTACTTAAACTATTTCTTTGAAATATTTCTGGAGTTTTTGGACTAGTATGCCCCATATATCCTTCCGTGAAAACAAAAGATTCTTCTGAATTTGCTCTGTTTATAGTCATATCATCATGACTAGAATATTTGGGTATATTAAATACATATTCTCCTTTATGTAATAAACTTTCCCCAAAACCAAGGTTATCATCATTAAAAATATGATATTTTGCTAAATTAGTCCATCCTTTATCTTCCTGCAAATCTTGGATATGAAAAAAATGAATGCCATTTTTATTGCTACCAAAAAATGCACAACCTCCTACACAACCACATTTTCCCACAGCAGCAGAAAATACTGGATTGTTGCTGGACTCTGTAGACCAAAGAAACCACAATCTTTTAGTTCTAAAATCATGAATTTGAAGAAATTTTTCTTGCTGTGCAGCCTTGTCTTTTTGAAGCTGTGAATTAGCAGCATCTACATAAATTGGTCCTAATGTAAAACTTCCTACTTCTAACCAAATTTCAGATTGATTTGTCTGAGAATTTTGTCCATGACTAGCTATACTGTAAGCTGATGAGCAGACTAAATTAGAACTTATTTTTGAATATTGGCGAATATAAATATGAGATATCAGAGCACTTAAACCAGAACTTATTTGATGACCATGCAGATTGCATGTTGCCATTCTAATTGGATAGATCTGAAATAAATAGTTTATGTTAAAAATAAATATTTATATGATAAATTGCAATATTGTAACTATTTATTAATACAAAACTTTAATCAAAAACATTTTCATGTATATTATACAGCAGGCCTTGATTACAATCATTTGATATATATTATTTTGAATTTCTGCTGATTTTAAAATTTTGTAGCAATCATTTTTTCCTCTCCAAAAATTCTAGAAAATTCTACAACTGTGCTCCTTATTATCAAGAAAGATTCCTGTAACTTCACTGGTCACCTATTCATGGACCAGAGAATCATAGAAAAGCCTACTACTAGCAAGTGTTTAGGATATTACAGAAAATGAAAACTGTAAAACAATCATCCTGAAGAGCAACAACAACAGTGATAATGCTTGGAAAGAGATATACTTTTGTATTATTCCATAAAAAAAAAATCTTAGTTTTGTATATTTGGAATTTATTCTTATAACATTATGTTTTATGTTGATTTGATATATGTTGAAAATTATGAAATTTAATCATTACATAAAACAAAGGCTTTACTGTGTTTGATACATAAAGGATCTTGTTTTATGCAGAACTAATATATGTAGATTCATGTTACGGTGAATAACCAGTCACCTGAATCTACATACAAGGTGAACCCTTGGAGTACAAGTAATTCTGACTAGTATTGCATATGCTGACTATATTTATTATGAAATTCAGTATATAAAGTAAAAACATAAATAAAATGTTTTAAACACATTTTAAGGTTTTAGTTAATTTTAAATGATTGAATAACTGTTTAGGTAATCATTGGGTCTACTTGAGATGAAAAAACATTTACATAAAATTTTCTTTTAGGTTGTACCTGGAAATGGAAAACTGTCCAAATATGTCTAAAATGGAAAATTGTCACTTAAGCAGTTTTCTGTTTCAAACAAGTTTTACTGTATATATTAAGTTAAGCATTTCATATTTTCTTAAATGTAAAACATTATATTGATAAGTTCAATTTCAATTATTTCATATTAATAAAACTGTAAATTATCTTACCTCCAAATTTATTGCAGTGTTTGCTTCAGCTAAACATATGTCAATAGCATCTATAGACAGCCTCGTCATTCGATATTTCATTTCTTCAGGACTTGGACACAAATAGCTGGGAGTGCTCTCTGAACAATGAGACTGAATGTGATCATGATGACAAAATTTGTAAGGTGTTGGAGGTTGGAGTGCACAATCTGATTGTTGAACTTGAAAAGCAAATATTTCTAAAGCAGCAACTGTATTATACAACTGAAAATATCCAAAATATTTTTACATTGAATGAAATAAAATTATCATCATCATAACATTGATTATAAATGTTAATACATAATACTTTTATTTATTTTAATATTGAAATACACTCAAAAAATATGACAGTAATTTTTTATATCAATCATAATTACATAATTATATCAACCATAATTACATAACATTTTATTTATTTTTAATTAAATGAGTCAGAATTAGTGTTTTTTTCATGTTATTTGCAAATGAACATAATTCTTAATTTCTTTATGTAAGATCAAGCAAATAATTTTGTTAATAAGTAAATAATAGCTAACACAAACAAAAAAAAATAAGCCCAGTTTTTTGTTATTGATACGCATTAAACAAATAAATAAACAGGATGTCTCAAAAATGCATAACAGATATTTCTATAAAAAAGTCTCATCTAAAAATAAACTTATTCTTATATACCAAGCTTATTTTTGGCACCATAATTCAGAGACAACTATTTCTATTGAAGTGAAAGACAGAAAATACACCCATCTTTTCCAGACAACAGATTACATCACTATTATGATAACAAAAAATAGTTTATCCCATTCTTGGATATTGCATGTCCAAAACATAGTCTTTAAGGTAAAGGCAGTATTATGATTGAACAAATATTTACTATTTTGTTAATGTTCTTTGGATTATCCTGTTGTTAATATTTGTTGTAAATAGTGTAATCAAGTTAGATCAATTGTTTATCTTAATTCTACATATTGAACATTTCCTACTTAAAAAAAATCATGCATAAATTTGAATTAGCATAGAATGTATACATTTTTTTTCTTGAAACATTCTATATTTATTTCATATTAGCTATATGTATTATTTACATTAATATGATTATTTGTTACAATTTACCTTATTATAAGATATAACAACAAAGTAGAGTTAATATAAAATTTTGTATTAAAATAGTTTTTAACTGACTACATTAAAATCATAGATAAATTTATAATGATTATCAATTTGTGGTTTAATCAATTCTAAAAATGATTTTTATCAATCAATATATTCAATTTTTTCCTCAAATTTCAGATAATATTAACAAAGTTACCTGAGGAAGAGTCAAACGTCCAGTTATATCTCCCATTTGTACTTCTACTAACCAAGCATACTCTAATGTTTCACAGTCAAGAGATCTTTCTGCATCAGAAAACATGGCATCACCTCTTACCTAAGAAAATAATAAATAAAATCTTGTCTTATTACAGATGTAAAATGAAAATGCATTAAGAATTCTTTTCAAGTAATAATTAACCTTACTTGTAAAGCTGCTATTGCAAGATGACCATTTTTAAGATGTGCATTACTTTCTGGTCTTTCAGCTACATCTGTTGCACTAAGTATCAAAGGTGATAATAATAACTGTAGTTTAGTTTCTCTATATGTTTTATGAAGTTCAAAGGCAAGTCGTTCCAAATATAAACATTGACAGGTTGGATCTTGATCAGTACAATTCTTATACAAATATACATATAATAGCCTACTACTAGCAAGTGTTTAGGATATTACAGAAAATGAAAACTGTAAAACAATCATCCTGAAGAGCAACAACAACAGTGATAATGCTTGGAAAGAGATATACTTTTGTATTATTCCATAAAAAAAAAATCTTAGTTTTGTATATTTGGAATTTATTCTTATAACATTATGTTTTATGTTGATTTGATATATGTTGAAAATTATGAAATTTAATCATTACATAAAACAAAGGCTTTACTGTGTTTGATACATAAAGGATCTTGTTTTATGCAGAACTAATATATGTAGATTCATGTTACGGTGAATAACCAGTCACCTGAATCTACATACAAGGTGAACCCTTGGAGTACAAGTAATTCTGACTAGTATTGCATATGCTGACTATATTTATTATGAAATTCAGTATATAAAGTAAAAACATAAATAAAATGTTTTAAACACATTTTAAGGTTTTAGTTAATTTTAAATGATTGAATAACTGTTTAGGTAATCATTGGGTCTACTTGAGATGAAAAAACATTTACATAAAATTTTCTTTTAGGTTGTACCTGGAAATGGAAAACTGTCCAAATATGTCTAAAATGGAAAATTGTCACTTAAGCAGTTTTCTGTTTCAAACAAGTTTTACTGTATATATTAAGTTAAGCATTTCATATTTTCTTAAATGTAAAACATTATATTGATAAGTTCAATTTCAATTATTTCATATTAATAAAACTGTAAATTATCTTACCTCCAAATTTATTGCAGTGTTTGCTTCAGCTAAACATATGTCAATAGCATCTATAGACAGCCTCGTCATTCGATATTTCATTTCTTCAGGACTTGGACACAAATAGCTGGGAGTGCTCTCTGAACAATGAGACTGAATGTGATCATGATGACAAAATTTGTAAGGTGTTGGAGGTTGGAGTGCACAATCTGATTGTTGAACTTGAAAAGCAAATATTTCTAAAGCAGCAACTGTATTATACAACTGAAAATATCCAAAATATTTTTACATTGAATGAAATAAAATTATCATCATCATAACATTGATTATAAATGTTAATACATAATACTTTTATTTATTTTAATATTGAAATACACTCAAAAAATATGACAGTAATTTTTTATATCAATCATAATTACATAATTATATCAACCATAATTACATAACATTTTATTTATTTTTAATTAAATGAGTCAGAATTAGTGTTTTTTTCATGTTATTTGCAAATGAACATAATTCTTAATTTCTTTATGTAAGATCAAGCAAATAATTTTGTTAATAAGTAAATAATAGCTAACATAAACAAAAAAAAATAAGCCCAGTTTTTTGTTATTGATACGCATTAAACAAATAAATAAACAGGATGTCTCAAAAATGCATAACAGATATTTCTATAAAAAAGTCTCATCTAAAAATAAACTTATTCTTATNTGAAATATTATATATATATATATATTAGTCCCAGCACTTGTTTAATATAATATAGAAGTTTCATATAATATAAAAATATAGGATATAATAGAATTTTATAAGGTGTTTTGAATTTTAAAAACATTTAAAAAATTGCTTCAAATTGCACAAAGTGAAAATGCTTTTATTAGTATCTTTCTATTCTTGGTTTGTAATTTCATTATTCACCAACTGCCAGATAAAAGATATATAATCTACAAAATAGCTTAATACTGAATAAGAAAATATATATTATCACACAATACAAACCATTAATAGAAAATGTCCCTGACATTATTTTCTCCTTTTTACTATATTTGAAATCTCTTTATGTACTTGTTTAAGCAATTCATTAGCAAAATGAAGCATTTCATTTTCTGATTATAAAAAAGCTTAGGCTGCAAAAATTTCTTTCCTATCTTGTTTTTCACAGGCTATGCTTTTTCTACAAGTTAAAAGGTTGTCTGATACTATTTTGATATAAGATTAGCCAAAAATTAAAAACATCAGATTTTATGTAAATTCTACATAAAATCCAATTATGTGCACAATTTAACATAAGCAATAAAATTACATAATTTTTATTCATTTCAAACTATAAATTAAAAATTAAGAAAAAATATTTCTATTTAATTAAACTTAATAAGGAATTTGGAGTTGTAAATTTTGACTTGTTTTTCAATATCTAGGAAAATTTTAGATGCTAGTTTCTATTAAACTCATTTAATTACAATTGGCAATTTGTTTACATTACCAAGGAGTCATCTAATCCCTTTTCTTAACAAGCATCATCAAAATGGTGATTTCATCTTTTAGCCTGGCAAAGCTTCATCTCACTACACAATTTCAACTATGGAATTCCTCAAAGTCAAAAATATTCCATTTGTACCCAAAGAACATATCTGTCAAATCTGTGACAATGTCAGCCAATTGAGGATTTCTTTGGCACAAGTTGTATAGAAGAAATGATGATAAGCAAAAAATATTATACAACTGATCTGAAAAATCAGACTTTCACTTAAAAATATTGACATGAAGGCCATCCAAAGGCATTGTAAGTCTATCAAAACAAACTTATGGCACATCACCAACCATGAACCATATATAGATGTAAATAAAATTTCTTTTAAAATGATATCTAATATTTAATAGTTACTTCAAGTTTTTAATAAAATATTATAATAAAAGTAATAAATTATTTTATTAAGATATAATTGTAAAATTGACAACAGCTTGTTCTTTTATTCAAATTTATAAGTCTGTTCCTTTTATTTAAATATTTGTTCTATTTGTATGTGTATTTTGTATTTATGTATGTTATATTCCATATTTTAAAAGTTTGTGATGGCTTTGTTAGCTGAAATTGGCTCACATGAGCCAAAAACATTTTCAATTAAAAGTTATAAAGAAAGTTTGGTTTCCTTAACAAGCAACAAGACTAAATATATATATATATTGTTGTTTCTCATCCACACACAAATATCACTAAAGTGAAATTTCAGTACTTTTTGTAATAGCAGGTGTAGCTATCACTTAAAATTAATTCGTAGAATGTCTATTTTGTGTACACTTATTGTCTTAAAACATTACTTTACATACTTCTCATCAACACATTTTTATTGACACAATGAATATAATAATTGGCATATATAGTGTTATAAAAATAAATAAATAAAATATATATATGAAAACAATACAAGCTAAAAGAAAAAGATGAAAAAGTAAGCAACTGCTTTAAGATTCCATCTTAATATGAACCATGCTACATTTAATATATTGATAAACATTAACATCTTAAAACATATTATTAAAATGTTTTAATAACATGTTTTATTAACATACTTTTTGAGAAAAATGTAATAAACTATATTAATTCTCAAAAACTGCTCAAGCACCAAAAATAACCAACAACAGTTTTTTAATCAGCAAGTATAATACCTACAGTATATATAGACATACTGTATATTTAAACTACAAAATTAAACATGAAATTAAAAGATAATTTTAACTTTTTATGTATATTTTGTAGTTCAAATTTGAATAATATGAAAAAATTAATATTTTAAATTTAAATATTCAAAAAATTATTAATTTATTATTAACTTTAATAACTATTTTTACTTACATTCAATAAATGACCTTGAATATCGTGCATTATGAGAGAGACAGTAACATCTAATGGACGATAATTTCTAGCATCAAAGTCTTTGACTTCATCATCTTGATCTTTTCCAGGAGTTGACTTTTGAGTAATTTCTGTTGGTGTTGTAACAGGAGATAATGATGATTCTAAATCAACAAACTTTTGATTTTCTCCTAAATAATTTTCCTGAAAATTTCACAATTATTATTTAATAAATAAATTTTTTTTTATTTAAGATATAGAACAAGCTAGTAAAAATGCAAGTTATAAACCAATCAAGTAAATATTTGAAAAGTCTACATAGAATTTCAAAGTATCTTGTAAGTTATACATGACCAATTAATGTTTAACTCATCATTTTTTAAAAATACAGTAGAACCTTGATTATCCAGACTAATTGGGGATGAAGGTAGTCCGGATAAGGGAAAAATTTGGAAAATCAAAACAAATACTTTAATTTGTCTTTTAATGATAATACAACACGTTTTCTTTTCGATGACATATCGGTAATATTAAAAGTAAATACTGTATTTAAACCGTGATCAAGTTTTCAAGAAACAAACGTTCGTATTGAATTTGTACTACTACTAACCAACGCTAACAGACTACCTATTGTTTAAAAGGCCCTCTGGTAGCACAAGAAGACAAATTTTATAAAATAAAAAGCAGTTGAAACTGCATTTTTATGAATAAAAATTTGACAAACTATTTATCGTTTTATGACAAGTAAAATTTTTTTGTCATGTTCGTGGTTTTTAAGTAATGAATAAATCTTCAAAACGCGAGGCCCTTCGGACCGCGAGGCATAGGCGGTGGCCCACGTTGCCCATGCCTTATGCCGCCCTTGGTCATAGAAATGATGTAATTTGAAAATAAATTATTTATAAATACGTATGTCAAATTATATTTTTATTACAACGCAAAATATATTTAAGAGTTTACGGCCACTGTGCTGGGTGAGACGTTGTTGAAACAAAAAAAGTTATGTATTCCATCACGTACATAAACAGTATCGTAATTCGCCAAGTGCAAATCAGCAAATTCGTAAAATTTTTGTATATTTTGAACAATCCGGATAATCGAAAATCCAGATAATAGAGGTCCAGATAATCGAGGTTCTACTGTATAATTAATTGTTTGTCATAAAATAATAATCATCATTAAAACCTAACTAAACAGTATTAAAACTATTATATTTTTTTACAGATATTTTGTTTAAAATGCACATATAATGAATTTTATTATTAAATAAACGTTCAATTTTGATTCATCTGGAAAAATTAAATCTTAATCAAAATTTTGCATTACAGATGATGCTTTCAATATGACAAAACTGAACATTAACTAATATGTAAATTTTAAAAATATTAATATTTTACTTAATTAGAAATAATATATCTATATTTATTTCAGTGCTCTTTCTGTATTTCAATGCTTAAAAAGTAGAAAAAGTAGAACTTTGTAGGAAAAAATCAGGATAAGTAGGACAAATTTAAAAATAACAAAAATTATTACTTGAAGAAATATGTTCAATAAAATACTATATCATGACAAAAGCAATCTACAGTATATATATATTTGATAAAATACATGCTCATTTAACAAACAGAAAAAGATTGGGATATATACTAAATTAAGTCTATTTTATTTATTTTTTTTTTAATTAAAAATTTCCTACTAAAAAGACTATCACTCATTAGTTAAATAATAATCCTGGATAGCTTATGGCTGACTATATTAACAATTATTTTATTTATGTTATAAAAACTAAAATAAAAATTACCTTGACATGCATTATGAGTGACAGTAAAGCACCATATAAGCAAAGAACGGACGATCCAAATTCTAATTCAAGATGAATAACATCTGATGCCAGTGATGTTGGATCAAATTCTTCTGAAGATGGAGGAAGTTTTGTGCTTCTTCGACCACCATTTGGTCTTATAGGAGATAATAATAATTCTTCTTTTTCTGGAGTTGTGATATCTAAATCAGTTTGTTGTCCCATTGGTGTTATAGGATGATATGTATAAGCAATACTCAAAGCTACAAGTGGTACTGACCAGCAATCAACCCAACCAGAACTAATAAAAAATATATACTTTTTTCAATAATCAAATATTAAAAATTATATATTACTAGTTATAATCAAATTATACTTATATTTAAATTTTATTAACTTTAATCATTGTTTGTTTCATTTGTATATATTCTTATAAAATAATGTAAAATTAACTAATATATTTTATTTCATAGTTAAGTATAAGATTAGAGGCAAAAAATTAAAAACTCTACTAAAGTACTGAAATCAAATTCTCATTCTAACTCTTGATAAAAAGTTTTTACTGTTTTAGAATATAAAATGTTACATCATTAAACATTTTTTGAAAAATGTTTACTGTATATCTTAAAATATATCATTACTATATCAAAGGTGTACTTTTTAAGGCTAACATAAAAACATAAAACTATCATAATCTGGATAGAAAATTTTTCCAAAAATATTAAAATAACATTTTACATTGTCCAAGAACAAGTAATAATGTTAAAATGAATCCAAAGTAAATACTAAACTACAAATAGGAGCCTTGTTGTAGAAGTTAAGATAATATTTTCAAAAATGTGAGATTATAAATAAAAACTTATAAACTGAAATATTTCTATAAAATTATTACTCTGTTTCAATTTTCAATACTTAGACTAGCAAAAATCAGATTTTTGTATATAATTAATATGAAAATCTGATTCCTGCTAATCTAGGTATTGAAAATTGAAACAAAGTAATAATTTTTTTAGAAATATTTCAGTTTATAAGTTTTTACATATATTCTCACATTTTTGTATATTTCTATATTCTTTATTCTATATTTTAATATTTCTAATATTAAATTCATAAATTTTCAGCAAAAAACTGAATAAATTAATTAACCAAATAGATAACTAGATAACCAGAATTGCGTTTTGAATTTCTTAATTAAAGAATGGTAAATAAGTACAATAAGTATAATAAAAATTTAAAATTTTTTATATTTTCAAAAAACATTATGTCTGTATTTTACTGTTAATGTCTGATTTTTCACATCTACAGACATTAACAATGAGATACAGACATTTAAAAGACCAACGACACTTCATGAATATTTGTGGCTTCATATGCCACTAAAATTATACAGAGTATTACATTCTAATCAATCTATATAATTTTGAAATACTAACAATAATAAAATTATTTATTTTAAAAAATCTCAATTAAAAGTCATATAAATTATTTTGGTATAAAAAGTTTCTTTCAAAAAGTTAAAAATTGTTGATTNTATGAATCTTCAAACGTGTATAAAAAGTTTCTTTCAAAAAGTTAAAAATTGTTGATTAATGTAAGATAATTGTTATAATCATGTTACAATAAAAAAAAAAATAAGTGAATGTTACATTACCAACATTAGTTTAATAGTATTAAATTTGATTCAAGATCAATAAGTTTTGTGATCAAATCCTTCAGGATTTGGTTACAAAATCTTTGGTGACAAAGGTGTCATCATATTTTTTGTCTTTAGAGAAGAAATATTATGATGACACCTTTATCACTAAAGATAAAGATATGTTTGATAAGAACAAAAAACAATGTTCCTCACATCATGTCATTGTAAAATGTCAGTTATAAAAAAATTTCAAAAAATAATAGTGATGATACAAAATAAAAGAATATTAAGCTTTTTTCCTAATAATTCTAAACATGAAATATTTTATACAGAAATATGATATATACCTAGGTTTACATAAATTCCTCCACTTTTTCTCATCTTCATTTTTCTTTAGAGATGAACCTTCACGATTTGTCAATTTAATATTCTTTTGCAATGTTAAAACTATATCTCTATTAGTATTAGTTTCTGGTAAATAAAAGGATAAGTCCACACTTTCACCCTATTAAAAATAATAAGCATATTTATTTTTAATCTCAAGTTAAGATCTTTATAAGATGAAAAATATACTTTAAATATTATTGATAAAGTCATTTAATAAAGCATAACAAAATAATTTACTTAATATTTTTCATTTCATGATTATTAAAATAATTATTATTAAAAAATTTAATACAATATTAATTTTTATTAAGTAATTTCTCATAATTAAGAAACATTGATAAATTTTTAAATATGCAATGACTAAATAATAACCTTTAATTGAAGCCTTTACTTAAATTATTTTAATCTTAAATATATTTTTTAAAATTATTTATAAAGTATAAAATTATACAAATAATATATAATTACATAGTATACACTACTTTCTTATAAATAGTTTTAAAAGTATTTATAATTTACCTGAATCCAAAACTCCAATGAAACAGTAGGAGGAACAAAATCAATAAAAGGTAGATTAAATGACATATCAAATAATTCACCACAAATAGCAACATGAGCTAAAGAAAAAAGAAAACTACTTTTATTTTTAAGCATTTTAATATCTTGCAAATAACAATTTAAATAACTTTTATATAATGAAATAAATAAAACGTTACATATTTATTATAATTATTAATTATATTATTAATTTTATTACTATTAAATAGTACTTAATAATGCACAGGGTGTCTTCAAAGGTATTTTTCAATTTAAAAAATTCATATAACAAGTTTTATACCTAAACAGTAAGAACTTTTGAGCTTAATAATTCTGTAACTCAGATTTTTTTTTAAGAATTTGAGAGTGCCATTTAAAACTACAGACAGAATGCAGCAATAATCAGAAACCAAGATTGCAACCAAACAGGAAAAAGTTCAATGTATCAGTTGCATGGCTAACTGGTATGTTGGATATGATATCATTACACTTTTTTCTCTAAGAGTAGATTAAAAAATTATGTATCAGACAATAGTGTCTGATGTTGCTGAATTAAAGGAAAGAACAACCAAAGCCAAAGAGCTCCAGTTAATGATGACATCTTGGGAACACAAAGACAGAACTTGATCATCATCTTGATATATTATATGTAACCAATGGTACAAATATTTAAAATTATTAATAAACAGTAAAAGCTTTATGAGTTAGAGAATTGAATTTGTTATTTTTACGGAACCATTATGCTAAAAACAATTCATGAAATCAGAAAGTATTTTTATTAACATAATGTATATAGTAATAATTAATTATAATATATAAATTATTATTAATAATATGTTGCATTATTTATTAACAAAATCTCAATAAATGTTACGCATCTAAAACAAGTGAAATAACTCAATATTTTATTTAATTATTTTTATCATTTGCTGCAAAAAAGAACTTTATCGAAAATTAAAGGATGCAAGATAATTTTCTTTAAATAGTAGCAAGTGATAACTAATTCTTCATTTGGATTTTAGTAATTATAGTTATTAACTACAGTGGAACCCCAGTTAACGAACGTAATCCGTTCCACGAGTCCGTTCGTTAACCGAATTGTTCGTTAACTGAAGCAATTTTTCCCATAGAAATTAATGCAAATACAATTAATCCGTTCTAGACGTCAGTATTTTTGTAATTTTATTTGTAAAATGGGTTTTCTTTAATGAAAATATAGGAAAACGTGCTCATAAACAGTCGATCTAGGTTAAATTTTCGGAAAAAAGGAAAGATTTGACGGGTATAAAAACATCACATACGATCGTTAAAGTTCTAAAATGACAGATAGCAGAAACAATATGCTAAATTATGAGCGAAAGGCTTATAGGTTTATCAACAATCTCTGATCAGAGTCGACGAACAGGTGTCAAATAAACGCCTC